GTGGCTGTTAAGATACTCACCCGCGTCGGAAACTGATCGAAACCTGATTCACGGACGAGAATTGAATCAACCGATGTGTCGCGTTCGCGCCGGCGTACAGAGCTTCGCGCAGTCACACCCAGACGTCCATCACAGTTAATTGGTCCAAATCCTCTATAATTACCCCAGTTTCGACGCTGACAATCTGACAGCTAATTAACATATACCCCTACAGTTGTGTCCCCTCCCCTCCATTTTTCATCGTTCTGTCTTACCCCCTTACGACCCCCGACAGCTGATTCGTGTACACCCACTATAGCTGGTCCCTTTTTGTTGCTGTTTCTTATCTCTGACGATGGACTCATGTAAGAGGTCGAAAGCTCTGGATAATAAACAAATTGATCCGGTGCTCGACAACCCATCTTTCTCATCCGAGGTAGTAGTATATTACCATCCTTTACAGTGCAGGCAATTCGCTTCCAAGCTAACAGTACAGAGAGCCTCGTACTGAGGAAGGAAGGAAGACAGGAGTGAAGCACCATCTAAGGATACAAAAGGCTGCAAAAATAAACACCACTAAAGTCTCTTACGTCTGTATAGTAATAATAATAAATCTCCTGAGCGCCTAACCCGCGGGTCGCAGTTTAGACAGAGGAGAAAAAACCACACATACGTAAACAGACAGAATAGCGGGACTGAGCTCGTGAAAATAAGAAAGAGAGGTATTGGCAACTCGTTTTGCCATTTATCTGTGTTTGTCTGCAGCAGGAAGAGGATACTGGAGTTGGCTGACTGGCTGACATGAGTGAGTCATAGTCCGTTCGTGTACGCATGAGGAACTGTTCCGTTTGATGTACCGTTACAGTGGTTGTAGTCATGGTAAGGTGTTTCCCTGCCAGAATCCGATTCGAGGACGGTCCCGTTCTGCTGGTTCGACTGCTGCTCATCATCTACCTTCTCTTTCTTCTGAGCCGGCGGTAGGAAGCGGAGAGTTCGCAGGGCCTTCTTGGTGATGGCAAGGACAGGGATACCCCAGACAATATTGAGACAATCCAGCATGGCCGGTAGGCAGATAAAGAAGCCCACAGACCGGGGCAGGTCGGCAGCGATTTGGCGGTGAGGTGGCGTATTGAAGTGGCTCACAAAGACATACCAGTAAGGGAGGGCAAGGAAATATCGACCGAGGCAGAAGGTGGAAAAGAAGAAGAGGGTGATTGTGGCTACGCGGTACTCGGCTCCATCGCCGCCGATTGTCTTGAAGAACCACCTGAGAGAGAGAGGGAGAGAGACACGGATGCTTGAACACGTGAAGGGAAGGGGAGAACAATACTTTGTGTGTTCTGTAAAAAAGGTTATCACAAATGAACTGTGCTACATTGGCAACATAAAAGACAATATCAGACATGGTACAGTAAGCGCTGTAGGTTGTTAGATATT